GGGGGGGGGGGGGGGTTGGGGGTGGAGTTGACGTGTAATCTTAAGATGCCGGGTGGCCATGGGAGGGTGTGTGGGCCATGAGGGATGGGCGAGTGAGTTACATACAGAGCCGACCAGTGTGTGTGGCCATTTGCCTCCCTCCCTGTTTATTTTTCGCAACTCACCTCACCTCACTCATCTGTACGCTCCCTCCCACCACTCGTTCGTGTGCCCATGGCTGGCTTCTCTGACTGACTGACTGACTGACTCGTTCATTCATTCATTCACTCATGGCAATGATTGCCTGTCTGTGTACGTCAATGAATGACATTTTTTGGTCCCATTTGGCGCAGTGTGTTGATTTGACTGACCGGTGCTGCGGTGCAGTGCACACCACTGACTGACCTCTGTGGGTAGGACGCTGTCGACTCACACGCACAAACCAGTCCATCCACACTGAGACAGACTTGCAGCCAGCCATCCCCCCGCCCCTGTTTGTGTGTGTCGAGTTCACCACACACATCTGTGTGGCTGTGTAGGCTTTTAGTAGCACTGGCTGGTAGATCGAGGCCTATGAGCTCCCACCCACTGGCTGCTGTGCACAGCAGGTGTAACTTAAGTACAATCACCGCGTCGTTCTGATTTTGGGTTTGCCGCCCGCACCGCCCCCACCGCACACACGTGTGTGTCGTGCCGATTGGTTTTGGCGCCGCAGGCACACAGGGAGGGACATCGCTGACGACCCCCTGCCGACTGTACACTCACCGCCGCAGCAGCCGTATGTATATCTATCATACTCACACACACACGTGCGGCCTGGCCTCCTCAGCTCTTTGTTGCCAGCGCTCCCCTCCCCCCTCACTCCGGCGGCAGACAGGCGTTTCATGTGTCTGTGTGCCTAGCCTCTGTGCAGGTGCGTATATGTCTGCCTTATCTGCCTGTGTGCAGTCAGCTAGTGCAGTGAGAGGTCCGCCGTCTGTGGGATGCTGTCAGCATCTTGTTTGTTTGGTGAGTCAGTCGGCCGGATGTTCTTGTGTGTCAGCTCAGCGGTTTCCTCCCCGCTGTGTGTCTGTGTATCAGCTTCGATCGAGCTTTTGTGTATGTCAAGGGACTCTTGTGTGATGTGCATGAGTCTGGCGTGACACGTTTGTTTGTCGATGCACTCACTGTCTGTGTGCGGTGCGGTCGGGTTTGTGTGGGGGTGGGGTGTGCCATGGAGAGGGTGCCGGGGTGCTGTGCTGGGGTGCTCGTCCATCCCTCCACACAACTGTGTATGTGTGTCTCCCTCCATCGACATGACTAAGTGCAGGCAGCGGTGAGCGCATTGCCATGGTCAGAGAATACACACTCTGTCTATGTGTGCTGTGTGCTGTTTATTTCGTTTGTTTAGGTCTGCTGCCTACGGCCCCTTCACTGAGCCGGGCCCACCCATCTGCCCACCGTTACCTTACCCCGCTGGTATGTATTGTATGCAGCACACGGGGATGAATTAAGCCACCTGTCTGGTCTGTGTGGCACACACACGACACATGACTGACATGAATATGGTCCTTTCCCTCTGCGCTGCACTGCTGCAGGCGTGACCAGCCAGCCAGCCACAACATTCATCCGTTAGTCGTCGCGGTGCGGTGGCGATCTCCTGCGGCTGGTTTGGCACGCCGACCAAGGGTGAGCGATCCGATCATGAAGACTCTCAGAAGGAACACATCTTCGTACGCACCTTCCTCTGTGTGTGCGTGTTCGTGTTGTTGTGCAGCTCAGCGGTGAGAGAATGTTGTGGCGTGTTCGGTCCCCTCACGAGGCCCTCTGCCGCTTTGGCTCCGTCGCCTGCCTCTGCTCGTCTTCCCTCGGCCATCGTCGCCATGCCACGCTCCACGCTCCGCTCTTCGCATGAGGTGAGTCAGTCAGTCAGTCAGTCGCACACGAATAAGTGCCTGGGGATGTCTGCATTCACATCTACCCCCGTGTGTGTGGGGTGCGTGTCCGTTCTCTTTCACCAGGCCCATTGCGTAAGGCAGCCGATCTGTCGATGGAGCGGCTGAGGGGCGAGGGAGTGCCGGACAGGGCGATGCCGATGGACGTGCAGATCGATGCCGAGCTCAAGTGTCCTGCGATCTCGAGGGCATCAAAGCCACCACGTGACGTCCTGACGTAGTTAGGCAGCTATAGAGAGAAAGGTGGAGACAACGGTGTGGGGTGTAGGTCGAGTGCGATAGTGAGAGAAGGAATTCAGGCTGTCTATACGTGCGAAGTCGAGTTTGTCCATGTACAACGAACGAGGTGTACGTATACAAGCAGCCTGTGTAGAAGGGGTAGCACTCTCACTCGCTCACTCGTCCGTCCTTTCGGGGGGCGTGCATAGCATGGATTGATGCAGAGCGATCTCGATGGATGTTGGAATGAGTGAACTCTGTGTGTGTGCGTGATCGATTGAGTCTGCCTGCGTGTCTGCCTGTTTTGCTTGCAATGTGTGTTTGCCCGGTCAGGTGGAGGCAGCGATGTGCGGGATGCCTTGTGCTGCTTGGTGCTTGCCCGTGTATGCACGCACAGATGCATACATACATGGATGGATCCGTCAATTCATTCCATCATCGTCTGTAACGCCCACAAGGGTGCACATCCAGGCTGGCTAACGGGTGATGGATGCATCTTATCGCTTCCCGCTGTGCACATACATCACATACATGCACCCAGACAGACAGACAGACAGACAGACAGACACCCAGCCAACCAACCAGTCATCTGTTCAGCTAAGCTGCAATGCATTCTCTCCAAAGACAGCGAGGAAGCTCCTCGGATGAGTCAATGGGTGGTGGTCGACCCACCAGAAGTGGTCGACCCACCAGAAGCATCCCCTTGGGATGCAGTGCCGATTGCAGCAGGCCTCCATCTCTTTACGGATGGCCATCTCTCGACGGATGGCCGACTCTCTCGGGTCGTATGGGAACGAGCTCACGTGCACCGTCAGCCTGCGAAAGCGATTCGCCTTGAGAAGGGGGTCGAGGACACCTCGAAAGAAGGGCTTGACGGCAGCTTCGGTGTGCGATAAATGAAGTGCATACACACAGACAGATACGACACATACCCACACCCGACACCCAATCAATTATTGCGGATGGCAGGTGACATGATGCAGACGTACAGCTGATCTTGACGTCGATCCTGTCGATTTTGGGGAGCTCGTCGGCCCAGTCGCGCCAGGTGAGACCCTCCTGGGACGGCTCGTGCGATGCCAAACTGATGGACACCTTTGTGGTCTCGACCTCCCCGTCCCTCCCTATCGCCCTCAGCACCTCAAACACAGGTCCCTCCCGGCCATCCAGCCGCTGCAGTCTTGTTGCCTTCTCTGCCAGTACAGCACCAGCACCCCCTGCCAAGTCTCCTACTATGCTGATCTTGCGCAGAGAGGGGAGGCGAGGCTGAGGGATGAGCGACGAGACGAGGCCCCGAAGGGCCGCCGCTCGCTCAGCAGCCGAGAGGGCCTCGAAAGCAGGCCCCGGATTCCACCCCGGGCCCGCGGGCACGAAATTGCCATAAACAACCATCTCCGTGGTGGAGAATGTCAGGCTGTCGGCGACGCGTTGGACTGCAGGCCGGACGGCGCCCCGCTGGTGGTAGTCGAGCAGCTGCTCGGTGGTGACGTAGATCTCCATCTTCCGAGTCCTCTGAGCCAGGTGCTGGAATGTCTCTATGAGGAGGGTAGAAGGGTCGTCCGGCACGTCGAGAAGGGAGTTGATCTGGAATATGTTGGCGTGGAGCATGAAATAACCTCTGCTGGGTGGGGGCGTCCTGAAGGCGATGATGGGGCCTCCGAATGCCTTGTGGAAGGAATCGAGTCCGCCGACAAGGTCGCGCAGAGCGGGCCCGTAGAGGACGATCGGACGAAGCTCGACATCGACGTGGTCGAGGGACAGACACCCATGCTGATGCAACACATCCTGTCAATGCAATCACACACAGACACTTTGAGATGACCAACAAGACCCTCACAGGCAATGGGTTTTCCCTCCCAGACGTACCTTGAGATGTGTCAGCCCGATACTAGGATGAGGCGCTAGCACTGCACCACCGTCTGTCATCAGCAGGGTGCCGATGGTCCTCAGGCCGGCCAGCCGCCCCTCCTCCCCCTCTGCTGCCCGCTGGATCATCGACAGGGCATCCACCAAGGGGTCAGGTGCCATCGTCACCACTAGCTCCTGGAGCCGCTCGGATGTCTGGATGATCTTGCCCAGTGTCGCCACGTCCAGGCGGTCTCGATCGTGCTTCATCACAGCTGTCTCGGTCACCGTGTCGAGTGCCGGCATGCGCCACTCTCGGTCGGCCATCGGGCGATGCTCCTTGTCCAGGCCGGTGATGCTCCTGACGGCTGGCAGATAGGCCGATGCGGGGGAGGGACGGGAGGGCAGCAGGGAAAGGGCCTTGTTGACGGCCGCCCTCTCCTTCATTGACTCAGCATCAGGCCGGGCACGCTGAGGAGGAGTATGTGGTGGCTGCCCGGCAGGGCGGAGGGGGCCCCGCTCGGCGTCATCATCGTCCTCCTCAAACCAGACGTCCCCATCGTCCTCGTCTGGCTCGAAGGTGATGCTCTCGAGTGAGCCCTCAGGTATGGGCCGCCCCGACTTCCGTCGCCCCGCCACCAGTGCTGCCCGCGCCTCTGCGTGGCCCTCCACGATGCCGATGACGACACGAAGACACCATGCCGCCAGCAGGCGGGGATGGCGCACTGTGATGCTCCTGAGGTGCGGCAGCCGTCTGCCCCACTCGTAAGCCGCCGCGAAGGAGAGCTTCTCGAAGAAGGTCGCACTGGCGTCGTTGTAGTCGATGATGAGGTCAGTGTAGTTGACGGCCAGCACCTCCCACACTCGAGTGTCGACGGGCGTGAGCGAAGCGCCTGCCGCAGCAGCGAGGAGGTCTAGCGGCAGCAACGCCAACGTCGAAGCCAGCACGTCATACTGAGTGACGGAAGACGGACCCAAGACACACACCGAGGAGGTCGAAAGGTGGAGTTTGGTATTTGTCGTGTATCTCCCTGCCTGTCTGCCTGGTTGCCTCACGTACCGGTATGGAGGCGAAGGCGAGCAAGGGCTGCCTGAGACCCGGCTCCCTACTGGTGCTACTGCTCGGCTCATCTGTGGTCTCGTCTCCAACTAAGCGTCTCTCCTGCGAGCAATGACGACCAAAAAATACAATGACGTATGTGTGAATGCATGTGCGAGTTGGTGCCTTCACCTGGCCGCCGTCCTCCCGCGATGCACCCTTAGAAACAGCCTGAAGCACACACACACGCATTGCATTCCCACGCGGCACACGCGGGTATTGTGCATTCATCCAGACATGAACACACCTTTGCCTTGTTGACCAAGATGGCGATCTCCAGGGGACTACTCTCCTGAGCACATCCATCGGATCAGACAGCAAGAACAGTGAAGCTTTCTTCCCGCCTGACCCCACCCACTTACCGTCCGCAGATATAGTGCGATTTTGGTCTGTGCTATCTGGATCAGACGGGGGATGTGGAGGTAGCTGGCCGCCTGATGGAGCCAACACGCAGGAGGCAAGCTGGCTGGTAGTCTGGACTGCCAAGAGAGAGTGTGCTTTGTGTGTGTGCGTGTGTACCTTGACGACGTCGCACAGCGTTTCCCAGTCCATCTCCTCCACACAGGTGACATCCCACTCGTCGCCAAAGACCTGCAATGCACACGACACACGCAGGCAGACCCCATAACCACGCCTGCTGTGTTGGTGTGCCTTGCGCTCATGGTCGGTCAGACGCACCTCTTCTACAGTGTTTACTGTTGTGATGAGTGTTTCTTGGATGGGCTGAGGCGCCTCGTTGTCATCATCGTGATGCTCAGACACGTACTTACACCACTGCATGACCTTCTCCAAGATGGCTCTGCGGATGTTGTGGAGAGGCACCTCACCGCCGCCCTCGCCATCTGATCAGCACATGGATGGATGGATGGATTCAGGCAGAGATCAGCACCTCTCACCGGGTTCTTCCAGAATGTTGTCGATGGTTTTCGATAAGCGAGCGGCTTTCTCCTCCACCTCTACCGCTCCATCCTCAGCCTGCAGCCGCACCACCGTCATGATGACCGCTGCAGACAGCTACGCGGCCCTCTTCCCTTTGCCGCACGGAATTTGCGACGTCACATTCCCTTCGCCGAGCCGCACGGAGTTTGCCACGCGCTGCGGCGATGGACTAGGGAGCCGCAAGATAAAGGAAACGAGGGAGGATTCAGACCTTCCCTCCACCCCGATCCGATCTCGCAAACCAAGGGGGGGGAACAGGGTGTTTTGTGAATTGTGAGGCCACCTGAAGGTAGCCAATGGTGAATGACACGCTGTGGGGACAGTGCAAAGGAAAGCAATTCATCCATTCCCTCGTGTGGGCCATCGTTCTCGGGGGAATACGTAACAACCTTTCATCCATCATTCGAGCATACTCAGCATAGAGAAAAGTCGTGAAGTGTTCACCCATGCAGTGCGAAGCTCAGCACTTCTTAAGGAATGGATCTCTTTTGGCTGCGACTCATTCACAAGTGCGTGGTGCTGCTGCTGCTGGTGCTGCAGCTGTAGCTGGCCTATTCCCATACTTACCAGACAGTGCGCGACCGTATTCCGACCTTGAGGTACTTACGTGTCGTAGACTAGCTTTGACGGCTATTTTGTGCTTTGACGGCTATTTGTTGACGTATTAATTTTATTTGTAAGGACAGAGTGCGTTGGCCGCTGCAAGGCTTTCAGCCATTCATGCCGACACAGACCAGTAGACACGTACAATAAATGTCTTCCTACAGATCAATGACCACTGGAAGAGATGGCGGACCTAGCGAGAAATAGACAAGTACACGGCGGAGGTATGCAAATAGACAAATAAACGGAGAAACAGGAAAACTGGAACAGGGTGCAAGTCACCTACACACTGCACTTTACGAAGCAAGCTCCCTCCCTCCCTCCCTACCTACCACTCCTTACCTCTTCCTCCCTCCCTCCCGAGACACGTATCCACGGCCTGATTGTTTCTACACGTCAGCACGTCAAGATCGGTCGCATGACTGCGACCAATTCCCACGCCCAGCAATCCCTCTCTGCCTACATGCATCGGTCAGGTTGGCTGCGACACGAATGGGCTCGTGGCCCACCGCGCCATGTCATCCACCGACCCAGCAAAAGCCACATCCGTCTTGCACTGCTCACACAGGTAGCCCCGTGCAGCAGCTCCAGCGGCTCTTTGTCTTGCTTGATGCGCTCCCTGCTCTCCTGCTCGCGCCGGGCGTTCTCGGCCTTGACCCGGGGTAGATTCTGCTGCCATGTGGTCTTGCGGCGGGCATAGCAGGTGGTGCAGATGTGCATGTGTCTGCAGGGGATGTACATGACGGTCGCGGGGCCGTGCTCGCCAAAACAGATGAGACAGTCCACCACAGCCGCACTGTTGCTGGCAGCACCGGCGGTTGTTGCTGGGGGTGAGGGGCGCTGGGGCTGGCGGGGCCTGTCGTTTCCCTCATCAAAGCTGCTAGACGGCAAGCAGGCAGGCGACCTGACACAAACAACAGAGCAACAGCCGTACCGCCACCTCATCGGTGTTACCTCGATGCCTCACCTGTCGGGAAGTGTCACTGGTGTCACCGACCGCCCATCGCCACCGCCACAAGACGCAAACCTGAATGAGGAAACACATATGGAGTTGCCGACATATGACCTGTCCCCTGCTATATGCCCTCACCTGCCATGGTTGACGAGTGGCGGGGGGCCTCTGTTGTGAGATGCACCAGCTTGAGCACACGCCGAACTCACCGGTGAGGACAGCTCCTTGCTGAGGGCAGCACCAGATGAGAGCTCAGGTGGGCTGGGTGGAGGGGGCGGGGGCGGGGGAAGGGGAAGGGGACGGGGAGACCGCCGATGAGCCTTCGGGTTGCTGATGACCTCCGCTGACGGCAGCCAGGGAGCTGAAGGGGCCGCGCCCATCGACGGTGGTGGAGATGCGATTGTTGGCAGCCCCAGGCCCCTCCCGGCCGCCCGTCTCCTCTGTGCTATGCTCACGCTCATCGGCAGAGTGTCGCGCGGGGTCGGGTTTGCCGTCGATGTGGCACTGCTGACAGCTCCAGACGGATGCCCCTCACTCACCCTCTTTGCAGGGCTGCTGGTTGCCGTCTGGTGAGATGAAATCGCTTGAGTCGTCCTGCCCCTCTTGGTCCGGTTCGACCGATTGCGCGTCACCGCCGTCCACTGGCGGTCATCAGACTCCATCTCGGCCACAGTGGTCGATACCTCTCGCAGCACATTGGGTGTCTGGCGGCCACTGCTGCTGCTGCTGCTGGCTGTTGGAGCGGAGGCACGGCCGCCCCCATCATTACTCCCACCACCAGTATCAGCAGCACCAGAGGAAGGCTGAGCAACGGGCCGTCTGGGAACATTAGTGTGTCGCCCCTTGCCGCCTCTGCCCTTGTCCTTCTTATCCGCCTCTTCGCCAGCCAGCAGCTCTCTCTGGTGCCGCTCGGCTTGCTGTTCCCGTCGGTACTGCCGCAACCGCAAAATGTGGAGGTAGAGGAAGCGCCACAAACGCGGCAGCATGGCCAGGGCGGCAAGAATGATAGCGATGCCGAGAGCCCGACGTGACAAGACTCGGTGGCCGCCTGGGGTCATTGCGAGAATGCGGATGGCCGCTGCCTTCACCGACAGGTCACCATAGTCCAGCAGCTTGGCTAGAAGGGGCAGTCCGCCCACCTCCACCAACTGAGATTTGGCTGACTCCGCACCATCCTCCCCCAAGAGGATCTGCAGGGGGCGTAAGGCGTTGACAGGTTTCAGGGCACCAACTGCACCTCTGCCTGAGAGCTCCGTGCTGCGTGTGAGAGCCTCGACAAGAGAGGGGACCGCGCCAAGCCTGACACAAGCGGAGCCCATAAGCATCCGTTTGTGTATTGGTTTGTTTGGCCACTCAGTTACCGACCGGATGAGAGCATCGACTACCCGAGGGCCGCTCCCGGCAAACCCGCTGAGTACGTCGCCCGCTGCCCGCTGAACGTCATCGTCCCCGGTCTCGCGAGCGACACGAAGCACAGCTTCTCCAAGCTGATCGACATACTGCAAGACCACCAGCTCCTCGCTCTGGGCAGTGCCTTTAACCATTCCCAGCAAAGTACCCACTAGCTGCAGCTTGTCGTCGCTCTGCAGTTCCAGGGCCAACATCTTGGCGGACGCCGCTACAAGCCCAGTTGGCTGGCTGCGGCCCTCAGATTCGTCAAGGAGAGACTCCGTGTCTGTGTCGTCCGCCATGCTCTCCACGTTTGCCTCCAATAGCTCCATGGCCCTTTTGGCTCTCATTTGGATGGCGTCAGTGGGGTGCTCAACGAGCTGCTCGATCGATTGCTTACAACGACCGTCACGCTGCACATACATAGAGACACAACACGACAGACGAGCCGTGCAATTGGGGTGTTTTCCCTCCCTCTTTGCCTTCCCGTGTGTGTGGTCAGTGAGTGCAGGACCTTTGTAAGGATGAAGGCTTTGGCTCGCCGCCTTAAACTGCCACTGAGCGAACTGACAGACACGTACAGATTCAATACTCGTCGATGTGTGATGTGAGTACACACCTGAGGGCACCCGCCAAGGAGTCGACGAGAAGAGTGTCAATGTAGTCCCAGTCCCACAAAGGCGACTGCATCTCCGCCGTAAGGAAGCCACACGCCTGTTCAACGCAGGTGTGGTCAGCTGCGTAGATTTGCTGCTGCAGCACACGCAGAGCAAAAATTAAGAAATTAAGAAGATCTGTCTGTTGTGTCTTGCCCACTCACTTGCGTGTCAGTCCCCTCGCGTATCAGCAGGTTGCACACACGATTATACGTCAGGATGTGGCCAGCTGCATCGCTGAATTGGCCAACATTGCTGCGTGATACAGCGACTTCCATGTCACGCATCGATGCAGTGAGGACGTTGGGAAGCACTTCAGAATCGATCATGGTCTCAATTACGGCTGCCTGCAGCCCGGGCCGCTCGCCTGATCGAACACACACACACAGTTAGGACAAAGAAACACACAAACAAACAAACAAAGGAAGGAGGCTTGTGGTGCGCTGTGGTGGCTGGTATGGGTCATCTTACGAAGGTCATCAAGGATGGGCATCAAGATGTTCTCTACGATGGCAATGGCATGGTGACGCATCCTGACGTCGGGCACTAACACCATGGCCGACAGCTTTTTGAGCGCCCCATGCTCGAACAATGTGTAGGCCACATCAACACACTTAGGTCTTGGAGCCAGACACGGAGCGATTTGGAGCTTCCTGATGACGTCGGTTGCCGCTCTCTTGGCCCCTTCGTGCTGGTGGTCCAGCAGCTGCACAAGTGGTGGCAGCCCGTCGGCCTCGAGCAGCTCACTCGCCCACTGCAAGCCCTTATCATGGGCCACAAGCACCATCTGGTGCAAGGGCGTGATGATGGCTGGGGCAAGCTCCTCGTCTGGCAGCTCTACAGCTCGCTTGAGGGCCCCGACAAGGGAAGAGATGACACCCACCCTGACACAGACAGACAGACAGCCATGTGTGTCAGCAGTTCGGCCTGTCTCTTCCTGTCTGTACGTCTGTGTCAGCACTTACCGTATGAGTGCCTCCACGGTTTTGGTGCCCATTCTCCCGATTGACGTCAGCAGCTTCGATGCCTCCAGCTGCACAGCCGACTCAAATGCCCCTCCCAGCAGAGCACTGACAGCCTCCCCGGACCGCTCGGCAACGCCTGCAGCAATGTAGTCCGGCCGTGTGATGACAGCACGAAGCTGCTTCATCAGACTGTGCACGTCATCCTTGTGAAGATCGCCCCTGACGGCTGGCGACAAGCAGTCCAGCGTGACGACGAGCACAGCCGCCAACATCAGGGGCGAGATGACAGTCGAGGGAGTCGGGACGGTAGGCGAAGGGCCCGTCCAGTTATTTGCTACTGTAACGGCCGATGAAAAAACAGAAGTCACGCAGCTTTGTCTCAGAACAGGCTAGTCTGAGATCAGCTCACCGCCTCTGTCGTTTTGTTTCCAACGTCCCACTATCTTCTCGCAGTCGAAGATCGAGCCGCACACAAGACAGAGCATCCCGAACACAAGGACAGAGCATGAAGCGTCATGAACCACACAAATGCACCAACGCAATCCTCTCAGACAAATGCAATCAACAGGGGCGCAAAGTCATCACGTTGCATAGCGCCCCTCAGCCCCACACACAAATCATCAGGCCGCCAACTGTACACCCCAGCTCGTCTAAATGGTGGGCCCCGACTTCCTGTAGTCAGTCTCGCTTCTACAGATGGGGCACTGTGTGTTGCCCCGCCCCGGCGCATAGCTCTTGTGCCAGCAAGTGACACACAGACATCGGTGGCGGCAGGTGGACGGCGCCTTGCCGATGAGCACCACCGTCCGCTGCCCGTCGTGGCACACCGCACACGACTCATCGTCCTCCCTGTCGTCGATGCGCCGCTGGAGCTGCCGATTCTCCTCCTGGTGCGCCCGAATGACGAGCCCGTCGAGCTGCTGAATGCGGGCAATGACGCGGGCGAGGAAGGCTGTGGCGTCGGCCACCGTGTGGATGGACGAGAGGGAAGTCACCGAAGGCCTGCACACCCCCACACAGATGGATAGAGATGGACAGCTTATGTGTGTGTGCGTGGACGTACCTGTTGCGATTGTCGTCCTTGATGGCATCGACGCGCGACTGGAGCTTCCACACATCATGCGAGAGGCACCGCAGCCGACGACCCAGCTCACCGCTACAAAGCCGCTGCTCAACTCTGAATGCCACACACGCAGACACACATATGGCGGTGAGAAACCCCGCTGTTCTATGCTCACTCTGAGATGCGCTGCGTGAGTGCTGCCAGCTGCTCGTCGAGCCCCAAACCGCTAATGTCATCATCTACACCAGCATCCGACAAGCTGCCCTTCTCCAGCGGCCCACAGGGGCCACCCGCATCAGCCGAGGACGACGCCGATGCTGCCGCTGGTCCGTCAGCGGCCGTGCCCTGCTCCATCTCTGTGTGTGGCTCTTCCACTGCTGTCGATCCGCTGCTGAGTTGTTGGATCTTGCTGAGGGCGGCGTCGTAGATGGGCTGCAGGGCGGCCTTCTCGGCCTCGGCCTCAGCCGAGAATTGCCGGATGCCCTCAACGCCGCCCGCACGAACCACCTCATCCAACTCGTCAACAGACCTGAAACACATAATACACACGACAGAAGGTGCGTCAAGGTTCTTTCCGCCCTGTGTGTGTGTGTGCGGTTCGTCTCGCTTGGGTGCGTTGCGCATGGCGGCTTCCTTCTCGTGTATGAGTTTGGCTTTGCGCTTCTCTAGCGAGGCGATGGCCGCCAACTTGCCGTCCAGCTCACCACGCAACCTACACACGCATCCCAAGACACACACACACCCAATGTTGCGTTGAAAGTGCCACCCTTTCACCCAGCCGCCCATCTTACTGCTGCAATCTCTTGACAGCCTGCCGCTTCTGCTCTAAGGCCATGGCGCGTGCGGGATCGCCCAATGCTGCTCCATCACCCTCCTGCTGCCCCATCGTGTCATTGCCCCGCTTTGTCTCCCACTCCTACCAAGCAGCCTCCATGCCCCTCACCCACGCAGAGTCATCAGAAGGACTGCCGGGCGATAACGACAAGGCCACGACGGCTGGACTGCCGCTACTCAGCTCGGCATTGACGCCCTCGGGTCGCTGAGAGCCGACGGAGGCACACCCATCAGCGGCAGCCGATGCTGAGCCGGCAGCGGACGGCCACTCTGCATTGGTCTGCTGTTGGACGGCAGCGGACGACGACGAGTGCTGCTTGAGGGGCGGGGTCACAAACGGAAGGGCAGTGGGGGAAGGCCTATTGGCTGTTGGACCAGTCACAGAGATGCTGCTGGCGCTGTTTGGCGTCTGCTGTGGGGGCGTCGTCTCGTGAGATGAGCTCGATTGATCAGCCTGCTGCTGTAGTAAGGACGCATCGGCTCCGCCCGACCCGCCTCTTCTGCCCTTCTTCTTTCGGTGTCTCGGCGTGGGTGCTGATTGGTTGCTGTCTGCTGCCATCGTCTCTTCTTGTTCCTCCTGCTGGTACGCCAGCGAGGTGGGCGTCAGGCAGCCACTCTGGCTGGTGGTGGTCGCGCTCCCGCCGTCATCGTCAGCAGCAGCGGAGGATGGCTTGTCGATGGGCTCAGCGGCTGAAGCATAAGTCTGCCTGGCATGGCGTCTGCGGCCCCTCCCCTGCCCTCTGTTCCACTCTCTTTCCTCCTCAGCTATCAGCTCAGCCGCTGTGTCTTCGGCCTGAAGCTGCTGACGACGCTGCAGCCAGGGACCGACAACAAAGCGCCACAGTGCCGAAAGGCCGAGCAGGACAGCGAGGGCAACGGCAACCCAGGGCGCCCAGGGAGAGGACACCTGCAAAGGAAAGAGCCACTCGGAAAGAGAGAAGGACAAATTATTCTTTCTGTTGCCTCTTGTGCAGTACTAGATCAAGGCTTTTTGGAAGCCGATACAATCCACTGCCCTGATACGGATGGACACAGCAGAAATGCGGCTGTGCGTACGACTGTGTCGCTTCCATGAAGGTAGATCGACACACAGGTGTGCCTACCGCTATTCGCTAAATGTGCGCGCCGAAGTGCTAGCGACTCCGGCGAGTTCTTGGATGGCGCGCTTACAGCTGCTCTGAAGATACGAAGCATAAATGAACTCGGTAAGGCGTCGTCTGAGACCCTGCGTCTGACCCTCATCTGAGACGCGATTCTCATCTTTAAGGCCACACTGCCGCTGATCGATCGACAGGACAGCATGATCGTGAGCAGTACAGACGCAAGGCATCGAGTACCTTTTTGCTAATCTGAGCAATATTTGCTTGCAGGCGTCCACGCTCTCGGGATACATAATGATTCTGGACTCCAGCGTGTCGCATATTACGTCCACACACCCATGGTCGACTGCATAGTTACTCTACAACGTCGGCAAACACAGACAACGACGAAAGTCTGACGCCTTCTTCCACACCCTCCCGCCCACCGCCGTTTCATTTCCCCACTTCCACGGGAACAAACACGACATCAGAGGAATGTGCGTGAGCGCTTCCATCGGACGACCGAAAACTCCCGTTTCCCTTCGGTATGCCCTCATCAAATTCGGGAGGACCTCAGCGTCTATCATTTGCGCCATACTGACGGGAACCGTCTCGCGGCGCTTCCCTGAGGCACCCACACAGGCAATTGGCAGACGACTGTGATGCCTTTCTGCAGCTGCATGGGTGACTCACGTGCCATCTGATGTAGGGAGACCACCGCAACGAACAAGGCATGTAGGGCATCGTGGTTGGTCGATAGAAGTAAAGGCGAGATCCTTGACACCGCTCCATACTCGGAAAAAACATCGGCCAAACCAGACGGCAGTTCCGCGAGTCCGTAAACGCCCGTCGGGGCGACAGAAATCTGGGCCAGCAGGGCTGTCGCAGCTGTGACAACGAACTCATCGTGACGGTCCAGCAGCTGCACGGCGACCATCAATGTACTCGGCTCGATGAGCATCTTAGGGGCGACTTGTAAGAGATGCGCCAGCAGGACGACTGCTTCCCGTTCCACGTCGCTGTCCCGAGACCTTTCCAGCAGACGAGTAAGAAATCCAGCGTATCCCATAGCCTCCTCCTGCGGTTGTGTGCTGTCTGCAATATCCTCTCTGATGGTCCGCAACACGCTCAGCTGCAGGGCAGTGTCGTTGGTCTCCACAGCCAAACCAGCCAGCTCAACCGGAAGGGCGATAGATTCCTCGAAGGATCTATCGCCCTTCTGGCCCTTCTTGTCAGGAAAATGCCGGTGCTGCAAGGAGCCGCTCGGGGTGGCCATAAGGGCCAGCGCATAGAGCAAGGCCGACAGCATCAGGAGATCCACAACAAGATCAGCCGCGGGAATCAGTTCACGGCTGTCCCACAAGAGACCACAGCCGTGACACCCCTCTACAGGGGACACCCCCGCCCGGACTTTTGGACGGACGACTGGATGAATTGCTTTGCTTTGCGCTGTCCCCACAGCATGCCGTACGCCATTGGCTACCTTCAGATGGTCACAATGCACAAAAAAACCGTCCTACCGTGTCTGCGAGATCGGATCGGGTGGAGGGGTTCTGACCTTCCAGGGTTATCCCACGCCTCCCTCCGCACGTCGCAGATTCCGTGCGGCAAAGGGAAGAGGGCCGAATAGCTGTCTGCAGCCGTCATCATGACGGTGGTGCGGCTGCAGGCTGAGGATGGAGCGTAGAGGTGGAGGAGAAAGCCGCTCGCGTATCGAAAACCATCGACAGCATTCTGCAAGGTGAGGAAGCGACGAAGCCAAGATGCATCATGCACTTCCTGATTTGTCCATCCATTCATTTGTCTGTCAGATGACGACAGCAGCAGTGAGATCCCTCTCCACAGTATCCGCAGAGCCACGCTGCAAAAGGTGATGCAGTGGTGTGGGCGTCACGCCGATGAGGACAGCGAAGGCGGCACGCCTTTGGCCACGCCAGAAACACTGACGACAGCGAAGGCTACAGAGGAGGTGCGTGCGTCTGGCCGGCCACCATGTGCGCTAAACACACCAACACAGCACGCGTGGTTATGGGGTCTGCCTGCGTGTGCATTGTAGGTCCTAGACGATGAGTGGGATACCACCTATGTGGAGGAGATGAGCTGGGAAACGCTGTGCGATGTCATCAAGGTGGGTGTGGTGTGACACGTGTCACAAGACCATCCATCCATCCATCCATCGGACTACCAGCCAGCCAGCCTGCCTCCTGCGTGTTGGCTCCATCAGGCGGCCAGCTACCTCCACATCCCCCGTCTGATCCAGATAGCCCAGATCAAAATCGCACTATATCTGCGCGCGGTATGCGGCAGCCAAGCAGGAGAGCTCACACCACATTAGGTGGTGATCGTCACGGTGGTGCTCTGCGTGCAGGAGAGTAGCCCTTCGGAGATCGCCATCTTGGTCAACAAGGCGAAGGTGTGTGTGCGTGCACGGGAAGGCACACATACACACTCATTCGCCTGTGGGAATGAATGTCTGCTCAGGCTGTTTCTGTGGGGGCGTCGCCAGAAGATGGCGGCCAGGTGAAGAGATCGGCCGAGGGCGAGGCCAAGGGGGCGTCGGGCAGCGGCAGGCAGCCGGGTCTCAGGCAGCCCTTGCTCGCCTTCGCCTCCATACCGGTACGTGCGTAAAGCAATCAGGCAGGCAGGCAGGCAGATACACGACACGCGCCCAAACTCGTCCTTCGATCTGCTCGGTGTGTGTCTTGGGTCCGTCTTCCGTCACTCAGTATGACGTGCTGGCTTTGACGTTGGCCTTGCTGCCCCTAGACCTCCTCTCTGCTGCGGCAGGCGCCTCGCTCACGCCCGTCGACACTCGAGAGTGGGAGGTGCTGGCCGCCAACTACACCCACCTCATCATCGACCACGACGACACCAGTGCGACCTTCTTCGAGAAGCTCTCCTTCGCGGCGGCTTACGAGTGGGGCAGACGGCTGCCGCACCTCAGGAGCATC